GCACATTTTTTAACTGGGAAAGCAAAGTGTTAGCATACTATAGCCCCCTACTTTGCATGAGGTTTAAAGTGGAAAATATCTATAAAAGGCAAAGTAAAGAATATGATGAAGGGGAACACTTATGAATGTTGAGAATTACCTTTGGACATTTAGTAAAGATTAATGCTAAAGGGCATTTCGGCAGGACATAAGCAGAGCTACAGTAGGGGATGGAATAAAATGGACCATAGTTCAGATCAATAACGAAAACTCATATTTTAGAATGTATTGCTATGATCTCTGACGAATCCAGAACCAAATCGAAATGTATGTGGCATTTGTCATGCTGCATTTGTTCTTAGGAAAACCATTTCAATGACATATGTATGCATGCAGTGGATCTGCAGCATAGACTGGGTCTGCAGTGAGGAACAGAAACGGCAAGGACCCATTAAGTAATGTTTGAAGAGGACACATCAAACAATTGTTGGGGGGGAAATTGTGACATTTGCAAAAATGTACCACTGCCAAGAGGTGATATTGATGTAAGATTGATCAAGCTGTTCATCTGACTCGACAGCAGCAAAGGGATGGTTCCAGAACAAGTCAACCATAACTAAAAGCAGCTTAGGCTATACACAAGTCTTCCATCCGTTATACATTTCTACCTATACTGTTGATGGGAATTACGGCTCTTTGAAGGGAGCCGGATCTTATGGCTCCGTTCCTTTCCGAGGGCCATTCAAAAGAGCCGTTAAAAGAGCCAGGTGTTTTTTAAGTGGCGGTGGAGATTATTTGTTGACCCTGCTTTAAATTATATTTTGGCTTTACAAATGTTCCACTCCGCTTTATCATTGCCTATGTTTTTTTTTAAGTGCATCCAAATGCTGCTGCGTTTTCGCGTTTAACGTCGCCTGTACCACTTGTTACGACTTCTCTCTCTCATGTGTATTCCGTTAAGACCCACCCCTACTCTGCCTCTGATTGGCTAACCCTAACCCACAACATCTCACTCCTCGTGCAAAACCAATCAGAGGCACTCCTGCCTAAACCTAACCAATCAGAGTAAGCTTTTTCACTGTTCACGTAAAGGCGAGTGGATTTATGGCAGGCAGTGAACCAACGATAAAAAGAACAGCTCTCATCAAGTACGACTCGGTTCCCTTCGTTCGTACCAAAGAGCCGTTCAAAAGAATTGGATCCTTCGCGTATGTAACATCACTACTATACTGATTTCTCTTGACAGCAAAGTTTGGCACCATTATGTTTAACTTATTTTCAAAAAAGAAAAGTTAATGAACTTCGGGCAGCTTTGATTCCATTTTCAATTCATTCCTTATGCATGTCATGTGTGCTTCACCAAAACTCTATTTGCTTTACCCACACTATTTGCAATTGCTACAATGACAAAGTTTAAATTTGTCTTAAATTGCCGGCTTGGAATAATCTTTTAATGTGGAACAACATATATTTTAAAATAAAAGTTTAAATGACTTCAGAAGAATGAAATAACAACGTCCACAGAGCAGGAGATGGAAAGCCCTCCCGTAAGCCTTCAGCTCCTAACCTCTTTTATTTCAACCTGATTTAAGTTCAAACTCTACAAAAAAAGTGATGTGAATGTGAAAGATGCAAATCTGAGAAAGACAAACAACAACATCATATCACAAAGGCAGCTCTCTTCCACCTACAAGTTTGCCGTTTGCAACACAGTGCAGATTTTGTTATTCAAGCATTCATCTAGTTTGACTATTGTTAAACACTCAACTAAGACGAAACTAGGGCTGTACCCGAATATCCGAATATTCGGTCTAATCTGATGGGAGAGAGATCAGCTGCTGCTGACGAGTCGACACGCAGCTCTGCTTAATCACCTGCAGCGGTGAGCGGAGCAATTCACACACTTCAGGTTAGAAAATCACACTTAGCTATTTTAATTACCTCTCAAACTACCTAAACTAGTTATAGATATGTTTATCTTTACTGTCGGGTCACTCATTACTGGATCAGCGAGCTGCATGAGATACTGACGGGCTTTCAGGAGAGGGAGAGAGCGCTCCGTTTATTATTCCTGTGTTATTATAAATTACTGTACACTTTTGAATAATGTAGTTAATCTACTATAATTAGTTTGTTTAATATCGAATCATATCAATTTGTTTTAAAGCTCAATAAATAACAAAGAAGACCTTTGACCGGCATTTTTCTCATTTAGTCCGGAAGATTTCAACTTTAACGGACATGATGACCGGCAAAAAGAAATTCTAACAGAAACTCTGGGCACAACAACTATGAAAAGTCACATGAATGCTGTAAGTAGTAGCTTAGCTTAGTTGTTGTCCAGTTGCCATGACGAGGCATGTCACCCGCTACCACGGAGAAATAAAACCGATAAACCATCAATATAATAATAAGGTTTGCCAACAGAAAACATAAAACTGAACTTCTGAAACAGAGAAGACGGCTTAAGGGCTCGGATGTATATGAATGAACACCTCACTAAAAGAAATGCTGAGATCGCCAGAAAGGCCAGATTCCTGAGAAAACAGCAAAAAAACAATCAACATGGACTGCAAACTGCAAAATCTTCATCAAGCTTAAAGCCCCTGTCACACCTTTCCCGAAATTGACACCTGATGGACACACGAATATGGCCCCGAACCACACACAAAGGCAACATTTACATTACATTTAAGACATACAACTGCAACGAAGTAACACAAAAATTATGTTAAAAGTATTATGATACTGTTCTGATATTTTCCGACTTTTGTTCTTTACTTTCTCCGTCTTTTATATGTAGAAGATAATTACGTTTTCTCCGTCATGT